AAATATTAGTGGGGCCCCCAAATATTTGAAAAAAATGTTTTTTAATTAGTTTACTTAGAAATTCGAATGTGCAGGACCTATCTTAGCGTGGTGGCTCGGTGTGAGGCCCGAAAAACTGACATTTGGCCAATTTCACATTCGATTTGCTTAAGACCCTGAGCCGGCCCTTTATATTAACTTTTCTATTAATATAATATTATTTTAAATATTTTAAAAAAATTTTGTGACACTTAATTTATGTAAATAAGATTAATTTTTATTTGTGACTTCCTAAATAAAATTAAACTTTAAAAATATATAATAAAATCAAAGGAATGTTAAAAACTTTCATTAAGTACAAGCATCGAAAGCTCGCTTTAATCACGTATTTATTAATATGAATATTTTATATTATTATACTTTTCCATTTAATTTGAATGTATTATTATTATTATTAATACTATAGAAAAACAATGGTTTTGTAATATATCTAATACTCTCTTAGAATTATTTTATGTACTTTTTATATATTTTTCTGTCTTATTTTTCAATGCTTTTAGCTTATATTATAGAATAATATTAAAAGTTCCATATATCTATTTATATATTATACATATAAATATACATATATATTTCATATATAGTGGAACATCGAAAATCCGGACTAATTGGGGCCGAACCCCATCCAAATTTTTTGTTATTGTATACATGTAATTTAGCATTAAATACTATAAACTGTAATACTGTATTTCCACATAAAGTTTCATAAAGTTCTATATATTTGATGAAATATCTATTCTGGTGGCTATAATCTTATAGGGTTATCACTGAAGCTGAAGGATCAATTAACTCTATAGGAATGAACTAAAATCCTATCGATAACAATTTACATTAAACACTAAGTTATGTTTGAATTTTAGTAAAAATTCTGTAATTTAATTCTGAAAAACTTTAATTAAATTACTAAATATAAAATATACATTATTATCAAAGTTACCATTCATAAAATCGAAATATTCCCCAGTTTAAAATATCTTTTATAATTTAATAGTATCATGTATTTGATGAATAAAAATAATAGATTTTATAAAAATAAACTTTGTAACTTTTTCTACATAAAAATTATAAAACTTCGAACCTTGTAACTTGTTTACAGCACACATGTAATATAATTTAAACTAACTCTATATTTATTTTTCAGTGACGATGCATTTTAAATATGTAACTAAAATTAAGAAATATATTCTTAAGATTTGTAAGAAGATATGAATCAAAAGAATCGATATTTTCCCACTTTCTTTTATAAAAAAAAAAATAGAAAAAAAACAACAAATCATCAATATTCCAAAGGCTGTATGTACAGCTTTAAAATATTCAGAGGTTCATTTGTGAGAAGGAAGTCGATTTTCTCTTCTTTCAGGTAGGAACTTGGTATGAATTGCAATTATTTATGAATTGAAATTCAGATAGAGTTTATCATTACATACCATTACGTCAATCAAAGATTTATATCATTAAATTACAACTAGTTCCTGGATTTGATTTATATTCCCACGATTCAACAGTGTGAAAAGTTACCACAAAAATAAGCAAAGTGTAATAAAATTGATAATATTTCTTGATTCTAACATAAGGAAACGAAATGAAATCTTCCTTTTTCATTATTATGCAATTTTGTATTTCTATATTTGAAAAAATTTTTATTTATTTTTAGTTTTTTAATCAAGTATCTAACTGTTGAATTGAACTTAATTATGTAAATATCTTACATCTCGTTAAATATACGGATGGTTCTGTAATTATATTAAAGTTTGTGAAGTTTTTTTATGATTAAAGAATATTTTTCCTTTTTAATTTTCCCTGAAAAAAACTCAAATTTATATTTATCGATATAAAAATATACATATATAAGTCAATAATTTTTTAAATTTCAGCATATTTGTCTCTTGATCTCGTACAAATGTACAACAATTTACTGTATTGTATACAGATTATTTTTGATCTTAAATTAAGGCTCTTTATTTTCTACTAAATAATAAATAATAAATAATTTTCTCATACTTTAAAGGCGATGTATGACCTCTCATAGGACCTTAAATTTTGACTTGTTTATCTTACAGTATATATAAATCCGACTCTGTTTTAATTTTTTTTTTTAATTTTAATGAAAACAAATTTTAACTTACTTACTTTTTAAAATATTTCTTTGCAGCATTGAAATTATTTAAAAATGACGCCAATCAAATTATCCACTGTACATTCTTGGAGAATCTCTGGTTCGTGTTGTATCGTGTTCTTCATATTTTGGACAAATGCTGTCACAATTATTGCCGATAATCATCAAAATGAAATTGGTGGTGCCTCTCAGGTAAATATATTAAATATTTATTCTTTTGTTTTAAGTGGAAAAAGTTTTTTTTTTTTGTTTTTCATTCGAGCTTCATCCATTAGAAACTCTCGCAGTTCCATGATCATCTCGGAAGATCGATATAAATAAATCTAGTTAATTCTCTTAAGTAAACTAGAGCACTTTCCTTTTCTTTAAATAAAACAAAGAAGATCATGAAAGAGAAAGTTTATAAATCCGTCTTGAGGCAATTTCTCTTTCAAATTATTCATTTGTAAGATGTGTTCTGTATAATTAACAATAATTAAGATACAAAACTTCAACCGACATATTTAATTAACAATATTCTATTTTACAGCATTATATTTATTGTAATTATTTAATAAAATAATAAAATAAATGACAAATAAAATAGGAAATAAAACTTAATGATTTTATTAATATAAAAAAATATATTAATTAGACAAGTTTAATAATTTGTTATATTAAAATTAAAAAAGAAATTTTTATATTTTATTTAATTTTTATATTTTTCGTACTACAAAGTAAACATTTATTTCACCAGAGATTCGATAACTTTCATTAAATTAAATGTGATTTTTTTTTCTGTTGATTTCCTTTAGTTTTATCGTTTTTTTACAGTATTATTTTTATTTACTATATTTTAAAACATTATAATTTAATTTCTCATTGGAAAATTTTAATTAATTAATTAATTAATGTAATATTAAACAATTTAATTTTTTTTTATAATAATTTAAATATACGAAAAATACAATTTAAATAATTTTGTAGTATTGTAATGAAAATATAATTTACAAAATAAGTATAAACTTTTTTATTAAATTTATATAAATTACAAAATGAATAGTTAATTTTGATCAGAGTTTAAGAGGTGAGATATAGCTCGGGTCATCCACAAATATGTAATTCGCCAATTTCGAGTCATAAAAATATTTGGATGAAATCAGAAAAAAATAAATAAAAATAGCAAAATCAAAAATTCCAAATTTTCTTCAAGAAGTTTGACTTTTTTTTAAAAGGTTTAGAAATATAATATTGGAAATTTCTTAATTTATTTTTTAACTTCTTGAAGAGATCAAAAGGAGAAATAAAAGCATCTTTTTACCACTTAATCAAAAGAAACCTTAATTTAAATGACTTTCGTGCCTTTTTTTTGTCTTTTTTTGTCAAAAAAGACTACATTTTAAGGTCTATCTACTAATGTCAAGTGGCTTGTTAACCTCTTTATCTGAGTTTGACTTTAATTTGCTTCTTTATAAATCATATTTGATTTTATGTAGTGTAAAATAATTAAATATTATCTCACTCTATTTTGAAAAAAAAACATTAGTTTTTTAGAGTTGTAGTTGAAATATTTCTTATGTTAAAAATTGATAAGGCTTTATGTTAATTATTCCGACCGATATTCTATAGGGGAGATCGGGGCAAGATCGGCATGTTAAGCTTTACTTAAATTTTGTGTAATAAATACTGCTGTAAACTGAAAAAAAGCTTTGCATATTGTCTATTGGAATGTTTTCTTACTATAGAACTGGTTAAAATCAGTTTGGAAATAAAAATAATTAAAATAATTACAACTTTACAAGAAGAGAGAAATTGACGAAGTTGCCCCGGGTATAGGGGCAAGATCGGCAACTTCTCTCTTTTTGTAAAGTTGTAATTATTTTAATTATTTTTATTAAAGTTGCCCCTGGTATAGNGAATCAAAAGAATCGATATTTTCCCACTTTCTTTTATAAAAAAAAAAATAGAAAAAAAACAACAAATCATCAATATTCCAAAGGCTGTATGTACAGCTTTAAAATATTCAGAGGTTCATTTGTGAGAAGGAAGTCGATTTTCTCTTCTTTCAGGTAGGAACTTGGTATGAATTGCAATTATTTATGAATTGAAATTCAGATAGAGTTTATCATTACATACCATTACGTCAATCAAAGATTTATATCATTAAATTACAACTAGTTCCTGGATTTGATTTATATTCCCACGATTCAACAGTGTGAAAAGTTACCACAAAAATAAGCAAAGTGTAATAAAATTGATAATATTTCTTGATTCTAACATAAGGAAACGAAATGAAATCTTCCTTTTTCATTATTATGCAATTTTGTATTTCTATATTTGAAAAAATTTTTATTTATTTTTAGTTTTTTAATCAAGTATCTAACTGTTGAATTGAACTTAATTATGTAAATATCTTACATCTCGTTAAATATACGGATGGTTCTGTAATTATATTAAAGTTTGTGAAGTTTTTTTATGATTAAAGAATATTTTTCCTTTTTAATTTTCCCTGAAAAAAACTCAAATTTATATTTATCGATATAAAAATATACATATATAAGTCAATAATTTTTTAAATTTCAGCATATTTGTCTCTTGATCTCGTACAAATGTACAACAATTTACTGTATTGTATACAGATTATTTTTGATCTTAAATTAAGGCTCTTTATTTTCTACTAAATAATAAATAATAAATAATTTTCTCATACTTTAAAGGCGATGTATGACCTCTCATAGGACCTTAAATTTTGACTTGTTTATCTTACAGTATATATAAATCCGACTCTGTTTTAATTTTTTTTTTTAATTTTAATGAAAACAAATTTTAACTTACTTACTTTTTAAAATATTTCTTTGCAGCATTGAAATTATTTAAAAATGACGCCAATCAAATTATCCACTGTACATTCTTGGAGAATCTCTGGTTCGTGTTGTATCGTGTTCTTCATATTTTGGACAAATGCTGTCACAATTATTGCCGATAATCATCAAAATGAAATTGGTGGTGCCTCTCAGGTAAATATATTAAATATTTATTCTTTTGTTTTAAGTGGAAAAAGTTTTTTTTTTTTGTTTTTCATTCGAGCTTCATCCATTAGAAACTCTCGCAGTTCCATGATCATCTCGGAAGATCGATATAAATAAATCTAGTTAATTCTCTTAAGTAAACTAGAGCACTTTCCTTTTCTTTAAATAAAACAAAGAAGATCATGAAAGAGAAAGTTTATAAATCCGTCTTGAGGCAATTTCTCTTTCAAATTATTCATTTGTAAGATGTGTTCTGTATAATTAACAATAATTAAGATACAAAACTTCAACCGACATATTTAATTAACAATATTCTATTTTACAGCATTATATTTATTGTAATTATTTAATAAAATAATAAAATAAATGACAAATAAAATAGGAAATAAAACTTAATGATTTTATTAATATAAAAAAATATATTAATTAGACAAGTTTAATAATTTGTTATATTAAAATTAAAAAAGAAATTTTTATATTTTATTTAATTTTTATATTTTTCGTACTACAAAGTAAACATTTATTTCACCAGAGATTCGATAACTTTCATTAAATTAAATGTGATTTTTTTTTCTGTTGATTTCCTTTAGTTTTATCGTTTTTTTACAGTATTATTTTTATTTACTATATTTTAAAACATTATAATTTAATTTCTCATTGGAAAATTTTAATTAATTAATTAATTAATGTAATATTAAACAATTTAATTTTTTTTTATAATAATTTAAATATACGAAAAATACAATTTAAATAATTTTGTAGTATTGTAATGAAAATATAATTTACAAAATAAGTATAAACTTTTTTATTAAATTTATATAAATTACAAAATGAATAGTTAATTTTGATCAGAGTTTAAGAGGTGAGATATAGCTCGGGTCATCCACAAATATGTAATTCGCCAATTTCGAGTCATAAAAATATTTGGATGAAATCAGAAAAAAATAAATAAAAATAGCAAAATCAAAAATTCCAAATTTTCTTCAAGAAGTTTGACTTTTTTTTAAAAGGTTTAGAAATATAATATTGGAAATTTCTTAATTTATTTTTTAACTTCTTGAAGAGATCAAAAGGAGAAATAAAAGCATCTTTTTACCACTTAATCAAAAGAAACCTTAATTTAAATGACTTTCGTGCCTTTTTTTTGTCTTTTTTTGTCAAAAAAGACTACATTTTAAGGTCTATCTACTAATGTCAAGTGGCTTGTTAACCTCTTTATCTGAGTTTGACTTTAATTTGCTTCTTTATAAATCATATTTGATTTTATGTAGTGTAAAATAATTAAATATTATCTCACTCTATTTTGAAAAAAAAACATTAGTTTTTTAGAGTTGTAGTTGAAATATTTCTTATGTTAAAAATTGATAAGGCTTTATGTTAATTATTCCGACCGATATTCTATAGGGGAGATCGGGGCAAGATCGGCATGTTAAGCTTTACTTAAATTTTGTGTAATAAATACTGCTGTAAACTGAAAAAAAGCTTTGCATATTGTCTATTGGAATGTTACCTTACTATAGAACTGGTTAAAATCAGTTTGGAAATAAAAATAATTAAAATAATTACAACTTTACAAGAAGAGAGAAATTGACGAAGTTGCCCCGGGTATAGGGGCAAGATCGGCAACTTCTCTCTTTTTGTAAAGTTGTAATTATTTTAATTATTTTTATTAAAGTTGCCCCTGGTATAGGGGCAACAGTAATGGGGCAAGATAGGCACGTATATAAAATTATGTTATTAACAATGTATAAGTTGGAATTCACTATTAAAACAAAGAAATACAAATCCAACACCCATTTAATATTATTACAACGAAATGCAAGTTCAAAGACATATATACATGAATAACAAATGCAAACATGTTTTCATTTATCATCTGTTTGATTTTTATCCTTTGCTTCTAATGTGGCTTTATGTTGCCGATCTTACCCCGCTAGTCATGATTTCGAAACATTAAGTACAACCCTGAGAACAGAATGCCAAGCCACGATCTGGCCACGTGAATAAGTTGAAGTTACATCCTTCTAACAGGAAAAGTAACTTTCGTTATCATGGAATTATAACAAAACCTGCCAATTCAATATAAATGGAAAAAAAATATTATATGGAATTGAACGAAAATGAAAATTTGCTTGATAATTCAACTACGCTTGTTGGAGAACAATAAAAACACTACACTCAACAAGCCACCAATAAAACTCAACTGCCTAACCTATAACCAAAGTTTCCTTTTAATTTGTTTTTTAAAATAAGCGCTTGACAAACTTGCCCCGATCTCCCCTACGTAAAGTATTTAAAAAACAATCAAAAAAAGATTTTTAACGTTTTATCTAAATAAATAAATTATAATTTTAAAAATAAGAATCTAATTTAACATTATTATTATTATTAATCAAAATTATATAAACAAAACGGCATTATACTTTAGGAATTTTGATACGAAATTGTTCTTCTCATCAATAACAAAGATAATGATGCACTTAATGTAAGAAAATGAATTATTAATAAGTGCAATAATTCCCATAACACTGTAGAATAAATAATTTAAGTAAAATATTTACAGTATGATCCAAAAGTCAGTTAACCTAGATACATTTTAAAGTTACTCGGGTTTATTTTTCCAGTAAAGTAATTGAATTAAGACTTTCACAGTTCTTAAAATAATGCGAAAAATATATTTATGTTAATTAATTTTAATGCATGATTTAAATAAAACATTGGTTTAGGATTTTAATATTTAAAACTTTAAAAGATTTTCTTGTCTCTATAATGATTTGTTGGAGAGTTAAAGATGTACTGATATCTTTAACTCTTCAACTAATACTGATACTCAAAGATGTTACATAGATGACCGACACGATTCTATTGTTAAAGGAAAAGTATGATGTACAGGGGCAAACCACTACGAATATGAGGTGGAGAGCATATATTTTAAATTACATAAATTAAAAAGTATGATTAAAAATTGCAGTCCGGCATTGTAACGATGTCACAATAAATAATTGTTCGTTTTCTTTATTATATTATTAATGGTTTATATCGTCTATTATCATATTCAGGCCTTAACATAGAGATTCAACAGGGCCTTATAAACATTTATTTAAATTATTCGTTTTCATTGCAATTGTGTTTTAAGAAATAATTTTCATTTTCTTAAATTTTACTATTTAAAATTAAAAATATAATACAATTTTTAAACGCTTTTTGTTTGTTTGTTTTTTTTAAACTTAAAAATTCTCGATCTATAATTTAAATTTTATATTATATATAGATGTATAAATAAATAGATGAATTAAGTAGATNAATAACACGTGATTTCCGTTCTGGACCGGAAATTCGTATAAAGTTAATAAGGGGTATGAGGTTCATACCTGCTCTCGAATTTAGTTGTGTCATGCCCCTGTACATCATACTTCTCCTGATAACAAGCGAGTCATGCTGTCATCTAACTAACTCCATTCTCGATAAAATTTTGGGTTGAAATCACGTAACTTCCGGTCTATACTGAAAGTTTGTATATAGTTACTGGGAGAGGGGGCTCACCCACTAAACTTTTCATGACTGGTGTTGATTTTCATCTATCTAACTCCATTCTAGAGATTAACAAAGAGATAATCAGACAACAGACGGACGACAGTGGGAATGTATAGGTCTTCAAATTAAAAATTTTACTGTAATAAGTCTTTTAAGTCTAATAAATCTTTTTAGTCTTAATATAAAAATTAAGAAGTTTAAGAAGAATTTTTTTATCATTAATTTTTACGACAGTAAAAATTTGTAAGGAATAAATATCAAATATTTTATTAAAAAGTTTAAATTGAAGGTTAAGCCATAGAAATATTTGATGTCAACTTTATTTAATATCTTTTTTTATATTTTATATTCTTTATTATTACAAAACGATCACAAGAAATCCTTTGAGATTCGTCTTAAGTTTCAATTTAAAGTTTTTAAATCCAGAATACCTAACTGTAAATATCATTATAAATTATTTAAATCTATTTTTACGTTCAAGTTTTATGCCGTGTTATTTGTAACTCTGGTTTACTGGAGAAATTCAAATCTACTCATGATACTTTTTAATTTTTTTTTTTAACTTGAAAAATCGCATCTAGTTCTATTATTGGAAGTGAATTTCGTCTAAATCACTTCTCTTTCCTATTAAAATCGTATGCAAAACTATTTTTGTTCACTTAAAGTATTATATTTAGAAATGTAAGCTGTTATATCTTTCAAAACTTTTAAGATTTATTATAAAAAATGATAAATAAATTTAATATATAGGCCTATGTTAACTTTTAAAAATCGGAATTAAAAACAAATTTTACTTTAAGATTAAACCATTTACATAATATGATTATTTAAATTATATAAGATTATCTGTTAAATAAATCGATTTTTACTTTTAAAAATTGTTTTACAATAGAATTAATAACATTAGTAATAGAAATCTTATCCAAAATATGAAGAAACCAAGCAACGAGTTGTGTAACTTTCCCAGCGAACTGAAAAGTATATATGGCTCCATTTGTTATGAGAATTTTTTATATTATTAATTATTATATAATAGCAAAAAGGATTAATTTTGAGGGTAGAAATGAATTTCATAATAAAATTACAAATGCTCATAACGAGTAAAAAAGTTCACTTCTATTACAGATATGACATATGACCCGCAGTNGCTAATTATTTATATTGTTAAGTTAAAAAAATCCTCATTTTTTAAAAACTAAATCTTCAATTTATTAATTGCATCACTTTATTTTAAAAAATTTAATTTATTCAAAAGTATTTTTATAATTTATATAATTTATTACCATTAGAATTTGATATTCGAGTTTTTTTACGTATAAACAAACAACAAAATTCAAGAAAAAAATCAATAAAATTTGTTAAATTGTAATTTACAATATTTAACAACACCCATTAGTCCATGCTCGTGATTAAGGGTGGGATTTATAGCTTATGCATTTAAAATTTTAATATATGTACTGTACATATGTATACAAATTAAAACGACAGATGTATGCACTCGTCAAAATAGTTGAAATATGCATTATGCATATTAAAAAGTCACTAAAATGCACTAAAATTTGTAGGTTGAAATGTATATTTACTCTACTTCTGTCTGAGCAAAATAAAATTTTATAACTTTGAATGCGACCTAATTGATCATTATTGAATGTACACAATTGTTTACAAGATGTTTGAGCTGTTTTTCCTCGTTCTAAAATTGGTCTAAAGCACTCGTTGTATACTTTTGTTTTTTAGCACTGTACACATGAGAAATTAGTAAGCGCTCTTATTAAGTTATGAATTAACGAGCAATTATTAATTGTAACGTCGTTATAATGCCGGGCTGCAATTTTTAATCATATTTTTAATTTCTTTAAATTAAATTATATGCTCTCCACCTAAAATTAGTAGTGTCTTGCCCCGTACATCATACTTTTCCTGCTGTCAATAGAGTCGTGCCGGTCTTCCATTTAACTTCTTTCAGGAGAACATTTTTGAATTGAAATATATGGAAACTTTAGGGCAGCCTGTCCCTAAGGTTTCCATATCTGGTCTTGACTTTTATCTATCTAACTTCGTTCTCGAGATTAAGGAAGGATAGACAGACAGCCACATTTTTTAAAATTGCAGCCAAATTATATATTTAGTGTGGAATTTGATAGCGATGATTTTTTTCTAACATATCATAAACTCTACTAAATTTAGCTTCAGCTCAACTAGAGCTTATCTGTGATCAATTGCTCTATTTTAAATGTTTAGAATCTAAACTCCTGTACGTATTTTCTGAGCAATTAAGAATTAGTTTTCGTTGTTTTCCGTATTGTTGGTTGAACCAAACTCGATATAACGAAGTTTGATTCAATGAAAATCTCTCAATTTTTGTTCTTTTGTGAGACAAAAAGAATGAGAGTGCGAGTTAAACAGTTCAAATTTAAAACATTTGAATTTTGTACACTCATCTGTAATTGGATGGTGGAGTGATATTTCTCACGGGAAGTATATATACGCAAAAATGATTTTCACTACACAGATATAAAAAAAAAGACCCTACATTATTTGAGAAAAAATAGCATTTGTGATTATGCAAACAAGCTATAAACTTTATAAAGCACTTACGTAGTCGTGAAAATGATCTAATCTGCAAAATATGCCATAAAAATTACAAACACTTATTTTATCAACATATGAATTATTGGACAATTCTAACTTGATCCACCTGTGTTCAAATCATGTTTATAACAAGGTTTCGTTAAAAGATTTAAGGAAAAGGCACGCACGTGCATACAAATCTAGTCCGAGCATTATATAATTGTGTGGAAAAATTCACATTCCGAGTACTTTTTCAGCCGTCCATAGCTTGAAACATCATCTCCAACGAAAAACTATATCATTCGATAGTCATGATATTTAGTCTGCTTTAAACTATTATTTAGGACAAAAACTAACAACATCTAGGCCACATAGCCTTCAAATTGTTTAAATATTAAGTTACCTGCTTCATATATGATTAAAAAAGGAAGTGAATGAAAGAAAACTATATTTTGTTTTTATAATTGTATCAATCCTATTAATTTAAAATGTGCAATACCTTTCCTACAATAGTATTCAATAGAAAGATTTTTATATGATTGTTCTACTTCTAATTTATGTAGAGAAGATCCTCCTTTCTGGCTTCATACATTAGACTGGGGTCTTCAGCACACACAGGCATATGGATAGTGCCTGTATTCAATTGGTTTGGACTTGTCCAAGTAGATAAAATAATGGAAAATGTAGTTGAATAACGTTGTGCTATGGCAGACAGATGTACTCCGCATTCATCATTCTATTTTGTATAATGCAAATTAGGCTGCAATTTTCATATTGCAGATCTATACATTAATAACTGTCTGACTGTCGTTAATCTCGAGAACGAAGTTAGATAAATGAAAATCGATACTAGATATGGAAAGCTAAGGTGACAGAGGACCGATTAACTATATATGAACTTCCGGTATAGACTGGAAATTGTGTGATTTTATTTCAAAATTTTCTCGAGAACGAAGTTACATAGATGACCAGCATGACTTGATTGTTATCAGTAAAAGTATAATTATAGGGTCAAGATACTACTGAAGTCGAGGCCAGACATGGAAAGATTAAGGATCGGAGACAGGATTAATTATGTAAGAACTTCCGGTCTAGACTGGAATTCAGGTGCTTTTTCTTTAATTAAAAAATGAGTAAAAATTTCAACCCTGCATTGTGACGATGTTACAATAAATAAATCCTTGTGAATTATTTATATTTTTATTTGAGAAAGAAAAAATAACTTACACTAGTTATTTTTTATTAGTTCCTAACTATAAACATTACTCTTCTTAAAAGCACTTTTTAAAAATATAAATGTCAAAAAATCGTTTAATATTTAATAACAATGATTTTATTAACGTTAAATGTATGCGTTAAAAGTAATTGCTCCGTATTTATTTATGATGCATTTTATAAATTAAACTTATAATTTTTTATAAGTAAATTTATAATACATTGTAACATACTAAGATTATATTTAATTAATATAAATGTTTTATGTAATAAAATTAATGAGAAATTATTTTTGTACAAATATTTCTGAGTTTTTATTTGATAAAATTAAAATATATGCTATCGATTTTAGTAGTGTCTTGCCCCTGTACATCATGCTTTTCCTAACAACAATAGTTATGCCGGTCATCTGTCTAACTCCGTTCTGGAGTAATATTTTGAATTAAAATCATGTGACATCTGGTCTAGACCAAAAGTTCGAATATAGTTAATCGAGGTTTCCTATTCTTAAGCTATCCAAATCTGGTCGCGATTTTCATCTATCTAATTTCGTTCTTGATATTAAAGAAGCGATGGACACCAATGAAAACTTATAGATCTACAATTTGAAAATTGCAGCCCAGTAATAATACATTAAATGTTACTTTTACGTATAAAATTATGTCAAATAAATAATTATAATAACATTTAATTATTTACTTAGAATGTAATTCAATTATATACAATTTTAAAAGTTTATTTTATATGATTTTACAAGTTTAAAACCTTTTATTATTGTTTTAAATGTTTTTTTATATAGATAGAAGGATTGAAAACCGATACAGTTCTAACAACTAAAGAAAAACGATCTGCAGAATTCTTACCGGAAAGTAAAGAATATGGAGAAGAATTGTATAATAAAGACAGTACGTCGTTTATGCCTTTGAGAGGTAAAAAAAACGATGTATATCAAAAAGACGTGATTATTGATAATGCAGGAGTTTATGGTGATGATAAAGGAGATTTAATTATAGGAAACAAGCCCGGAGATATCAATATGGAAGAAAAGAGAGCATTCTATGCCATGAGAGGTAAAAAGGATGATTTTAAGAGGTCATTTTTCGCAGGTACGGATAACGACAAGAAGGATTTCAATAAGCATGATACCGAAGAAAAAAGAGCATTCTATGCGATGAGAGGAAAGAAAGATCTGAATGACGAATTCGATGAGGATAAGAGAGCATTCTATGCTATGAGAGGTAAAAAAGATGATTTAAAAAGAGCTTTCTACGCTATGAGGGGGAAGAAAGATTTAGATGAATTGGAACAGGATAAGAGAGCCTTTTACGCAATGAGAGGTAAAAAGGATGATTTTAATAAAAGAGCATTCTATGCCATGAGAGGTAAGAAAGATGACAAGGATGAAGATAAGAGAGCTTTTTATGCTATGAGAGGAAAAAAAGATTATTATGATGAAAACAAAAGGGCGTTTTATGCAATGAGAGGTAAAAAAGACGTAGATGATTTTATCGATGATATGAGACACGCTTACATTCTTCATCAAGATGATGAATTGGATGATGAAATTAAAAGGGCAGCATTGATACCAATGAGAGGAAAAAGAAATGCTCATCATTTGGATCTAAAAGAAACACCAGGTTAGTTACAATATTAAATTCTTTATGAAATTATGTTAAGTATTTTGTGATAATAAATTTAATTCATTTTTAATTTATAAATAAGTTCGACTAAAAATAAATATTTTGAAGTTAAGTTTCAGTTTAAATTGAACTATAATTTTAAGAATTTACAGACAAATTTTGATAAATTAATTCTACATATACTAACACGATTAAAAAATTCTATTATATGTTAATATTATTAAAATTCTGAATATTTATTATAAAGTATAAAGTCACTATCTATTTCAGAGAAATAATGTATAATTCTATTAAATTAAATTATAAAACGATAGAAAATATATTTTATAAATAACTTCTTGAATATAGTCATAAAATTTTGTAGACAATTAAATTGGAGGGCCTGAATCCACAAGATGTGGCACGAATTGTATCTGATGGCATTTCTCATTGCATTTATTGCATAATCTGAGTATAGAAACTGCACGTGAATGCCCAGTTTCTACTTCATTGTTTTAAATTTATTTAACAATTCGCGTATTATCTTGCCTTTAGGATCAGGTATAAATTTTTTCAAAGTTTAATTTAATTTCTTTCTTTGAATATGCAATACCAATGCAGTACATGTTATTATACATTCATTTTCATAAAGTTATGCAATAAAAAGAGGACGTTCATTGAAGTAGAGAGAGAGAGAGAGAGAGTTTATAAACCATGTACTGTACAGTAAAACCTGTGTAAACTGGACTCTCACAATACCGAATATGTTTTCTGTTTGGCAGGTTTTCATTGTATTAAAGTTCCGTTTTAAACATATTTTACCGTATGTCATAAATATAATATCATACAATACTGTATATAAACTTATTTTTTTTTAATTTAATATATAATGTTTTTTTTTTATTTTACAGTTCTGAAGAAAAGAGGTAAATTTTTTGCAAGTCGAGGTTAGTTCTGATTTGGTAAAACTTCACTTGTAGTTCATCATTTTGTGAATAATTCTGTTAATAATTTTTGATTCTGTTACACCGCTACATTAATTTGTTGTTATTACATAAAAAAATGCTCTCTAGTAGAGAAAGAACAAAAAGTGAATGTATAGTTCAGTATAAATAAAACATGCGTAAATTCTTTTCTTTTTTTCAATGCATTGTCAACTTTATATGTGATTTAATTACCAATTTCTATATACAGTTGAAACTCGATTATCCGAACTTACTGGGACCAGGGTTCTATCGGATAATCCAGAAACTCGTTTGTTTTTGTGTTTTGGACACATCAAGCGCTTGGCATTTAAAGTTTTATAAACTATAAATACTGTAATACAATTACTGTATTTAAAAGTAATTAATTTACTCGAAATCTAACGTAATGTAATGTATATGACCTAGTTTCGCGGCGCTGTAATCGACAGATGACGTAGAGATTTACACTTACATTTAGCGTTTGGTCTCTGGTATATACAACACTACACGCTCGGTTTTTAATTACTTATTTCATAATCGTTTCGGATAATCGAGTTTATACTGTATATATTTATCAATATTATAAAAAAAAAACAGAATAAAGAAATGTAAATTAATGCTTTTATTGAAAACATTAGCAGTATTCTAAATTATATTATACAGTCGACCCCCTATAACACTGTTGATTATTCCGTTTTATATGAATTCCATGTTGTACGAGTCACTTAGATTTTACAAATACGTGTGCCAGGCTGTGAACGGTTTACGTATTTGTAAAATCTAAGTGACTCGTACAACATGGAATTCATATAAAACGGAATAAACAACAGTGTTATAGGGGATCGACTGTACATAAATTAATTTGAAAAATTATTTTTAAAATTCAGTTTTACTAACTTTTATAACATTCTTTATATTATAAAAACTCATTAAAAATTAGAATTTTTATAAATTATTAAATTATTAAGATATTTTATATATTTATAGAGATACTAGATATTTGTTCCTGTATTAAAATTAATTAAAATCCTAAGAAAAAAATTTAAAAATTTTTATTAACGATTTATTTAATTAAATATTAAAACAATTATAAAAAAGTTTAAGAAAATTATTTTTTAAATTTTATTTTAATAAATAATGTTAATAAAAACATTTTTTTATGTCAAATTTTTTCAAAAATTTTTAATTTACAATTAATTTTATAATGAAAAATGTTATGAATGTTGTCTAAATTCAAATTAATTTCAAGTTTTTAATTGTAATATTATGTTACAAGTTAATAATTTACAAAGTTTTCGCTCAATCGAATTCTTACCTGGAAGCAAATTCTTTAATAATATTCAATGATAATTAGAAATTAGAAATTTATAGTTTCGACTTTAGCTAAATTTCCATCGAAATAAACTTTATTTGTTAATTAGAATATTAACAATGGAAAATCGAAACTTAATTGTATATTAGATTTAATTAATTTTCATTAATTGATGTTAAAACTTTAAACAATTTATGGCGAATTTCAAGGCTTTTCTGAAATTAATCTTAAAACAACTCAGAAAAAATTTAATATTTAAGTTTTATTTAATTAATTTAATTAATAAAAAATATATATAAAGATTTAAGCATTTAAAGGAACATTTTTTAAATGAATGTTTTATTTTATTTTTAATAAAAACTTTAGATAAAATACCTTACTTAAGACTCACTTTTTCACATAACTTAAATTGGGTTGCATCTTAATTCAGGATACTTTTCAGTACGTTTTCCTATGGGCAAAAAGGGAAATTGACCAGGGACCCCTCAAACCAATCTTTTATAAGAAAATATTCCCCTCAGATAATTTCCTCGAAGAAAAAGGCTGAATTCAGTACTGTACTATACGTGGACTCATTTAATTCAAATTCGCATGGACCCCCAAGAAGGTATAAAGCGACACTGATACTCTTTTACATTCTAAAAGTCTACACGTTTTCCTATTTAATAAATTATATTTATTTCTAATTATCATCAAATTTCTCCAAAAATATCCTTTTTAATGTTGGAGTGCGTTATAAAGATTCAGATTGTATGTTATTACTCTGAATGGGAATGAAAATTTGAAAATATTTCTGTTAATTAAACTTTATTCTAAATTAATTATTAACGTTTTATACTTTAATAATTTTTCTAAACTTTTAAAAATCTTTTTTTTATATAAAAAAAGAGCTGGAGGGACATCATAAATTCGAGGCAGTACGACGGTGATAAATCAAAAGTTTATTTATTAATGGATATCAAATTTTTAAAACTAATAGCAAAATTATTCAATTTAGATTATGAAATGAAATGTTTTGAATTTCAAATGAGAAAAATTTAAATATTTAAAATTAATATTTTATTATTATTTTTTTTAAAACGCTTATAAAAAGATCTAATTGATGAAAACTTAAATCGAGCAGATTTTTGAGAGTTCAAAGTTCAGTTAGAAATTCTAAAATTAAACATTAAGAGTAAACATTTTGATAAACTTGTTAATAAGTATATATATATATAATAGCTTTCAATTTATCTCATTTAAATTTTCGATACAAATGCTAAAATCTTACATCAATAAAGCGAAACTTTCATCTAATGTGACATTAATTGTTACAATGATATAACATGTTTAAATATTTATATCAATGTAAAAATTTTAAATTTAACACTTCCTACGTCTTTCAATTGTGAAATGAAACAAATTTATCAATCGTTTCGAGTTTATTTATCATTAAAATGGCATTTAAGCTCTTAATGAATTTTAATGAAATTTAGGATTTAATTTAAGATTTGTGTCTTATATATTACAGAGGTAATTAACTATCGTGGAATATTTTATATAACTTGTAAAAAAAATCTTTTGTTTTATTCGTAATTTGGAACATATAATATAATACAGTACGGTTCAAAAGTCAGTAAACCAAAATACATTATAAAAAAAAAAACATTTTCTGTTAACTGGCTTTTGGGCCACCTTATTTATATATTAAATAAAGTCGATAATTTTATTTAATAGCGTTTTATATAGCGATTTAATTTAATTAATAATTTTAAAATTTATTATTAAATCAATGTATTAAGGAATTTTTCTTTTATTAAACCATACGTGATAAATTTGAATAAATTAATTACGTAAATTCATCTCACTTATTGATATTCAATTGATTATTAAATATGAATTTTGGCTCAGAATATATATTATTCATAAAGATTTAAACGTTATTTATAGATTTATATCGTTTAAAGTAAGTTTTAATTTAAAAAAAAAATAAATAAATAATACCCCTTTGTGTGTTAAAATGTATTTAAAAAAATCAACGAATAATTCATTATAATTATTGAATATATTTTTTTATTCACATAAATTTTTATTCAAATACAATCGAAATAATTTCTTGAGTTTTACTTGTTTTATTTTATTTTATTTTTTATTCAGAAGAAAATTCGTTTCGTTTGCCACCCCACGGGTTAAAGTTTCTTTTTCTATTCCAATTGCTAAAGTTTCTTTTACCTCCCCAAGGTGTAAAGCCTCTTCGGTCACTCAAAGCTTTCATGGTTCTCTTACCACCCCATGGTGTGAATTGACGTTTCTGAAATACAATTTCATCAAAAGGAATAGATCTTTTGCCACCCCACGGAGTAAATTTACGCTTGAAAAATTCTTCGGATCCAATTTTGGAATCGTTTTCCAATTCCGCTTCTGAAACAGCAACCGGTAAAAGAGAATCCAAGTCTGGTTCTTCGTTTAATTGAGCTAAACTTGCCATTACTCCAATCAATGTAAATATCATTATAATATGGCGATTTTTAACCATCATCTGTAACATAAAAAATAATATTTTTTAACTATTTAATATATTTAAAATTGTTATCAGTAAATTTAGAGAGGTGGAACACATTCAAGAATTGATTTTTTTTTTAATGTTAAAAATGTTATAGTTTTGTTTTAGATAAGAATAAATTCTAATCTCTAATAAAAAATTCGAAATAAAGCTAAGAAATATTTTATTTTTAATTTATTCAATGTAAAATATATGCTTTCCATCTCAAAATTGTAATATCTTGCCCCTATACATCATACTTTTCCTTTAATGATGGAGTCGTGCCGGTCATCTAACTCCTACAGGGGAGGAGATTTGAATTGAAGTAACGTGACTTTCTGCCTATATGAGATGTTCCTATACAGTTAATCTGGGCCTCCTACCCTACGCCTTCCATATCTGGTCTCAAGTTTCATCTATCTAACACTTTTCTCGAGATTAAGGAAGGACCGACTGACAGCCAGCGGGCGACAGTGAGAATTTATAGGTCTACAACTTTTTCAAATTGAAAAAATAAGAAGAAAGATTAAGAAAAATTAGAAAATTCTTTAAAAATTTCCATTATACATTCTTAAAATAGACATTTAATAAAAGAAAACATAATTAAGACAATGTAATTTTGGGATACAATTTTAAATATCGACATTTTGAAACTTTCTGACTTTAAATTGTACTTTAAAATGAATTATTATTGAATTGACTAAACAATTAAGTTATAAGAAAACAAAAATTGATCTAATTTTAAATTCGTTAAAAGTATCTTAAAAATAAAACCCGAGAAAATATTTAATTATTAAAACATGTTTAATAAAATTATTCAGTTTGCTTTGATCTTATACAAAGTTAAATAAGATAAAGTTACTTTAACTTACGCATATTTCATCATCATCCAAAATGTTATTAAGAAAACAAGTTTCTTAATAACATTTTGGATGATTCAAGACGGATAAATTTAGAAAATATTGCTATTATATCATGTAACATGATGCTTATTTAAAATATTAGTTTTATAAAAATCAAGTTAAAGTATCGTATTTTATAATTGAAGCTGTCAATGGAAGTTTTTTTCATATATTACACATAAGCTTACTCATATTAATTCAATAAACTACTGTAATTGAAAAAAATTAATTAGGCTATAGGGTGGACCAAATGCCATTTAACCATTTTAAAAATTGTAGAAAAATTATTCAAAAAAACAAAGTAAATTTAACAAGTTTAGTTTATTATTCGTATTCATAAGTGTACGTGGTATACAAAGACCATTCAGAAAGGTGTAAAGAGGCATTTCTTATTCCTAAATGAAAAATACGTATATAAGTATTCTTAAATTCCCCTACAAAATGAATTATACATAAACCTATTCCTTATGTTACCCTAACGATGACACCTGACTAAGCTTATGTATCGTTAAGTTAACTAATTTATGGGCCAAGCTATAAAATTAGTAAAGTAATACAATTTCAATTACGATAACAAAATAATTTACTATTTTAAAATTTTATTTAATGAAAACATTTATTGTAATTTAATCAGAATTATTTAAAGTTTAAGAGTATCATTGAATTAAATCGTTTACTTGATTTATTATTATTAAATGACAAATAATTATAACTTATTTACACACTAAGACAAATGTTGACAACTCTTATTATAAGAATGACAAACAGAGTATTTAAATGCTAATTAAAGAAAAGAAATAAATTTATTTCGTTAAAAATTATGTTTGAAATTTTGAAAAAAAAGTTTATAAAATTGTGTGGATCAGGATTTCCTGTGGTCATAAACTAAAAATAGGTACGAGCTCTCTCTTATTAAAAGAAAATTAGGATTTTATACTGTAGGCTCACACTGGAAATTGTTTAGTGTCTCATACTTACTCTCTATTAAAACAAGTGTACAATGAAACAATTTGCAAAGTATTCTGTTTATTTCTTACTTTACGGTATTTATAAATTAAGTTTTAAGGAAAGAACATAAACAGTTAATTGAATTAGAATTTTTAAATTCAAGATATACGGAGTAAATGTAAAAAAAAATTGACTAAATTTAATAATAAAACAACTATATTCGAACCGGTTTTAGACATAGGAAACTTAGGAATTTGTCCAAACGTTAAAATTTATGAGAAGCAAGACTAATAAAATTTAATAAATTAAAAACAAAATGTTTATTTTCCTAGTTAATTTTTATTTTTAATAATTATTTAAGTAATTACATAGACATGTTATAAAGCATTGCATTACATACGTTCATATCTTGCTAAGAAATTAAAAATTCAATTTTTGACTCTGATAATAAAAGTGAATATATGAATTTTTTTATAAAATTTAGTCATAATAACTAAATTTCCTAATATAATAAGTTTATACATAGACTTGGAAAAGTAAAATGATAAATTCAGGCTTGTATTTATAGAAATACACTTGTTATGATCATTATATGTTTAGATACGTGTGGCCAGTGTTTCTTATCGAAAAATTAGTAAATTTAATTTTAAGCTATTTGTTTTATAAAATAATAAATTACCTATCTGGTTTACTAAAAAAGGAGCTAAAACAATTAGTTTATATCTTTATATAAATTTATACAAAATCTCGATTATTTTAATAATAAATTAAGAAATTTCTTTCATTAAATTCAAAAACCTGCTAAAAATGTTCTTAAATACATTATTTTAATTTGCCAGAAGCATATTTTCTAATTTTATTACACTTTACAGATTTATTTTATTTTATTTTATTTTTTATTCAGAAGAAAATTCGTTTCGTTTGCCACCCCACGGGTTAAAGTTTCTTTTTCTATTCCAATTGCTAAAGTTTCTTTTACCTCCCCAAGGTGTAAAGCCTCTTCGGTCACTCAAAGCTTTCATGGTTCTCTTACCACCCCATGGTGTGAATTGACGTTTCTGAAATACAATTTCATCAAAAGGAATAGATCTTTTGCCACCCCACGGAGTAAATTTACGCTTGAAAAATTCTTCGGATCCAATTTTGGAATCGTTTTCCAATTCCGCTTCTGAAACAGCAACCGGTAAAAGAGAATCCAAGTCTGGTTCTTCGTTTAATTGAGCTAAACTTGCCATTACTCCAATCAATGTAAATATCATTATAATATGGCGATTTTTAACCATCATCTGGAACATAAAAAATAATATTTTTTAACTATTTAATATATTTAAAATTGTTATCAGTAAATTTAGAGAGGTGGAACACATTCAAGAATTGATTTTTTTTTTAATGTTAAAAATGTTATAGTTTTGTTTTAGAAAAGAATACATTCTAATCTCTTATAAAAAATTTTAAATAAAGCTAATAAATATTTTATTTTTAATTTATTCAATGTAAAATATATGCTTTCCATCTCAAAATTGTAATATCTTGCCCCTATACATCATACTTTTCCTTTAATGATGGAGTCGTGCCGGTCATCTAACTCCTACAGGGGAGGAGATTTGAATTGAAGTAACGTGACTTTCTGCCTATATGAGATGTTCCTATACAGTTAATCTGGGCCTCCTACCCTACGCCTTCCATATCTGGTCTCAAGTTTCATCTATCTAACACTTTTCTCGAGATTAAGGAAGGACCGACTGACAGCCAGCGGGCGACAGTGAGAATTTATAGGTCTACAACTTTTTCAAATTGAAAAAATAAGAAGAAAGATTAAGAAAAATTAGAAAATTCTTTAAAAATTTCCATTATACATTCTTAAAATAAGAATGTTACATAAATTCTTCAGGAGGATTAGAATGTGCCCTGGGATACAATTTTAAATATCGACATTTTGAAACTTTCTGACTTTAAATTGTACTTTAAAATGAATTATTATTGAATTGACTAAACAATTAAGTTATAAGNTTTTCTAACATATCATAAACTCTACTAAATTTAGTTTCAGCGCAACTAGAACTTATCTGTGATCAATTCTCTCTTTTAATTGTTTAGAATCTAAACTCCTGTACGTATTTTCTGAGCAATTAAGAATTAGTTTTCGTTGTTTACCGTATTGTTGGTTGAACCAAACTCGATATAACGAAGTTTTGATTCAATGAAAATCTCTCAATTTTTGTTCTTTTGTGAGACAAAAAGAATGAGAGTGCGAGTTAAACAGTTCAAATTTAAAACATTTGAATTTTGTACACTCATCTGTAATTGGATGGTGGAGTGATATTTCTCACGGGAAGTATATATATGCAAAAATGATTTTCACTACACAGATATAAAAAAAAAGACCCTACATTATTTGAGAAAAAATAGCATTTGTGATTATGCAAACAAGCTATAAAATTTATAAAGCACTTACGTAGTCGTGAAAATGATCTAATCCGCAAAATATGCCATAAAAATCACAAACACTTATTTTATCAACATATGAATTATCGGACAATTCTAACTTGATCCACCTGTATCCAAATCATGTTTATAACAAGGTTTCGTTAAAACATTTAAGGAAAAGGCACGCACTTGCATACAAATCTAGTCCGAGCATTATATAATTGTGTGGAAAAATTCACATTCCGAGTACTTTTCCAGCCGTCCATAGCTTGAAACATCATCTCCAACGAAAAACGATATCATTCGATAGTCATGATATTTAGTCTGCTTTAAACTATTATTTAGGACAAAAACTAACAACATCTAGGCCACATAGCCTTCAAATTGTTTAAATATTAAGTTACCTGCTTCATATATGATTAAAAAAGGAAGTGNAATATATAATGTTTTTTTTTTATTTTACAGTTCTGAAGAAAAGAGGTAAATTTTTTGCAAGTCGAGGTTAGTTCTGATTTGGTAAAACTTCACTTGTAGTTCATCATTTTGTGAATAATTCTGTTAATAATTTTTGATTCTGTTACACCGCTACATTAATTTGTTGTTATTACATAAAAAAATGCTCTCTAGTAGAGAAAGAACAAAAAGTGAATGTATAGTTCAGTATAAATAAAACATGCGTAAATTCTTTTCTTTTTTTCAATGCATTGTCAACTTTATATGTGATTTAATTACCAATTTCTATATACAGTTGAAACTCGATTATCCGAACTTACTGGGACCAGGGTTCTATCGGATAATCCAGAAACTCGTTTGTTTTTGTGTTTTGGACACATCAAGCGCTTGGCATTTAAAGTTTTATAAACTATAAATACTGTAATACAATTACTGTATTTAAAAGTAATTAATTTACTCGAAATCTAACGTAATGTAATGTATATGACCTAGTTTCGCGGCGCTGTAATCGACAGATGACGTAGAGATTTACACTTACATTTAGCGTTTATCTGGTCTAGACCAAAAGTTCGAATATAGTTAATCGAGGTTTCCTATTCTTAAGCTATCCAAATCTGGTCGCGATTTTCATCTATCTAATTTCGTTCTTGATATTAAAGAAGCGATGGACACCAATGAAAACTTATAGATCTACAATTTGAAAATTGCAGCCCAGTAATAATACATTAAATGTTACTTTTACGTATAAAATTATGTCAAATAAATAATTATAATAACATTTAATTATTTACTTAGAATGTAATTCAATTATATACAATTTTAAAAGTTTATTTTATATGATTTTACAAGTTTAAAACCTTTTATTATTGTTTTAAATGTTTTTTTATATAGATAGAAGGATTGAAAACCGATACAGTTCTAACAACTAAAGAAAAACGATCTGCAGAATTCTTACCGGAAAGTAAAGAATATGGAGAAGAATTGTATAATAAAGACAGTACGTCGTTTATGCCTTTGAGAGGTAAAAAAAACGATGTATATCAAAAAGACGTGATTATTGATAATGCAGGAGTTTATGGTGATGATAAAGGAGATTTAATTATAGGAAACAAGCCCGGAGATATCAATATGGAAGAAAAGAGAGCATTCTATGCCATGAGAGGTAAAAAGGATGATTTTAAGAGGTCATTTTTCGCAGGTACGGATAACGACAAGAAGGATTTCAATAAGCATGATACCGAAGAAAAAAGAGCATTCTATGCGATGAGAGGAAAGAAAGATCTGAATGACGAATTCGATGAGGATAAGAGAGCATTCTATGCTATGAGAGGTAAAAAAGATGATTTAAAAAGAGCTTTCTACGCTATGAGGGGGAAGAAAGATTTAGATGAATTGGAACAGGATAAGAGAGCCTTTTACGCAATGAGAGGTAAAAAGGATGATTTTAATAAAAGAGCATTCTATGCCATGAGAGGTAAGAAAGATGACAAGGATGAAGATAAGAGAGCTTTTTATGCTATGAGAGGAAAAAAAGATTATTATGATGAAAACAAAAGGGCGTTTTATGCAATGAGAGGTAAAAAAGACGTAGATGATTTTATCGATGATATGAGACACGCTTACATTCTTCATCAAGATGATGAATTGGATGATGAAATTAAAAGGGCAGCATTGATACCAATGAGAGGAAAAAGAAATGCTCATCATTTGGATCTAAAAGAAACACCAGGTTAGTTACAATATTAAATTCTTTATGAAATTATGTTAAGTATTTTGTGATAATAAATTTAATTCATTTTTAATTTATAAATAAGTTCGACTAAAAATAAATATTTTGAAGTTAAGTTTCAGTTTAAATTGAACTATAATTTTAAGAATTTACAGACAAATTTTGATAAATTAATTCTACATATACTAACACGATTAAAAAATTCTATTATATGTTAATATTATTAAAATTCTGAATATTTATTATAAAGTATAAAGTCACTATCTATTTCAGAGAAATAATGTATAATTCTATTAAATTAAATTATAAAACGATAGAAAATATATTTTATAAATAACTTCTTGAATATAGTCATAAAATTTTGTAGACAATTAAATTGGAGGGCCTGAATCCACAAGATGTGGCACGAATTGTATCTGATGGCATTTCTCATTGCATTTATTGCATAATCTGAGTATAGAAACTGCACGTGAATGCCCAGTTTCTACTTCATTGTTTTAAATTTATTTAACAATTCGCGTATTATCTTGCCTTTAGGATCAGGTATAAATTTTTTCAAAGTTTAATTTAATTTCTTTCTTTGAATATGCAATACCAATGCAGTACATGTTATTATACATTCATTTTCATAAAGTTATGCAATAAAAAGAGGACGTTCATTGAAGTAGAGAGAGAGAGAGAGAGAGTTTATAAACCATGTACTGTACAGTAAAACCTGTGTAAACTGGACTCTCACAATACCGAATATGTTTTCTGTTTGGCAGGTTTTCATTGTATTAAAGTTCCGTTTTAAACATATTTTACCGTATGTCATAAATATAATATCATACAATACTGTATTTAAAATGTTTTTTGTATTTATTTTTAAATTTTATAAGACATTTAACCAGCATATTTGTCTACGTAACGGTTAATATAAGTGAATGAAGTTTATTTATTTATTTAGACAATAGCAGGACTTATCGATTCAGAAAGCATTATTCTATATTGGAATGCAATGAATTTCTACGTTTCTGGTCCTGTTTTGCGTATTATAAAATATTAAAATCGACCAAATATTTATTTTATATTATTCAAATAGGATTTATTTTTATTTCGAATAAAAATTTCATTTAGTAGGCCTACGTTTAAATATAAGAGCCATCAAAGAACAAATTAAATGCATCAGAAAAATGTTAAAATATATATTACTTCATTTTATTAATCGCTTTAATGAAATTTATGTACAAGATAAATTAAGTTATATAATTTGCCATAAAAAAGTCATATATTATTGAATTTAAACCTAATATTTGGTCATTCTGTTAACTTTTCAGATCGTCTTTAATCAAGTTGTAAATAATAAATTAAAATAATAAAATTGGATTAACGAGAACGAATCTAAATTATTAAGTTAAAAAAATTAATAAATAAATAATTAAATAAAAAAAAATTGATATAATGGGGGAAGCTTTGAAAATGTGGCTCCATCTAACGACAACTAAAAAAACCAATTCGTGAAATTTAAATTAATAATTAAAAGTTATATTTTTTAATATAAATCGAAGTATCAAAAAAAATATAAATGTCGATTTTAACTATAAAATGACTTTGAAAGTTCAAAATTATTAACTCGATCTTCGTCGAATATATAGATACAAAACGCCGATATAAATCAACTGTAGAGCAGCTTGTGTCGGTGCCTTTGATATTCGCCAGACTTGTCTCTAAATGCCTTGAGCGAAAAGAGTCTTTATTCAAGACTTATCTAGCAGATAATGCCAGAAGATATCTGCATTCTCGATTATATGAACTATGAAGATCAATTGGTTTTTTATTACTTGAATTAATACTTACTTTACTTTTATTGATAGTTGTATTATGAGATTGAGCATTATATAGGAATTTTATGAATTTGTGGATATCTTTAATTAAAGGAATTCAAGTATTATAATGTGCCATTCTTCTCTTATAATTAAAGTACAATCAAAATCGAATTATTTGGGTATATGTCTGAAATCAAAACAATGGCATAAATATGCAAAAAATTAGATTTAAATTACTCTAACTCAAGAGTTTACTACATATATAAAGAATAGCAAAGAGAATTAATTTACTATATTGAGTGAGGGGTGACCATCCGATATCAAAAGCCATTGCAGTTATACGGGATATCCATTTACATCTGTCTAGAAGCAATATAGATCTTTCTAGCATTACACGAGTGTATGCTTGTTCCAGAGCAGCTGGAAAGTACTTATCCAGTGCTTAAATATCTATCCAAAAATTAATTCATTTAAAATTCCACGATGATAATAAATCAATGCATTCAGCAAAATAAAATGAATCATTCAACAAAAGAGACATGTGACAATTACACGATAATCCAGCGGCAATATGTATATTTTTCAAACATCAGACCAAGATGCAAATTACAAAAGCAATTTTGATAAATCACATTGCGGCACAAGAGCACATGATGCTAATGTATTTAAAGAGACATCAGCATCATATACCATAAGATACGACAAGACGGTCCCAAGATTAAATCTTGAGTACGCCACTGTATTAGGTAATAGGGTACAGGGGCAATGCCTTATACTCACGAACAATTCTCTAATACAGTAGTTTCCAAACTTTCTGTACCTACGCCTCTCTTTTTCAGAAAAAAATTTTGCGCTCCCTCAATTTTCGTAACAAACTAATTTCATAAATATTAGAGAGGTTGAGGCACACGTTTTAAACGTGTAAACGTGTACGTGTGACGTTCGGCGCCGTTTTCCCGTAAGCCTAAAAGTTTGACAATGATGTTTGGATAGTCGGTGGAATCACGCTCGACATTCCAAACTTTCGTCAAACTTTTAGGCTTACGGGAAAGCGGCGCCGAACGTCACACGTACACGTTTACACGTTTAAAACGTGTGCCTCAACCTCTCTATTATTCATGTATCCAGAACTTGCAAAATGGCAACAGTTTCGAGGTGAAGCTCTATTTTGTAGTGTGGAGATTGGACTAGTAGTAAATTTGTTTGTCGGATAGCTGGCATATGGTTTGATGTCACATACATACATACATTGTTATTAATTATTATGGAAGGTGAATTTTCTAACTTTAGCACGAACTGGCCTGAATTACAAATAAAGAAGCCGAATTAAAATCTAAATTAAACGAAATTCAGTTTCCCATTCTTAATTACGTATTTAAGCATCACTTCCGTAACAAGTTTTTGTTATTATTCGTATGTTTTTGTAAACACTAACGGATTTATTAAATTAGATTTATTTGGATTAGTGACCATTCCCGCTTTCGTTCGCATTATCTTTGTCTATTTACTGTGCTCTTTCGCATTTATGGTAAAAATATAACTTATTACGGTTACTTTGTTATTATAAAATTATAACGTTTTTGTAAGAGAGAGGATGAAGTAAGGACTATTAGAATTATAATAAGTTATGCATTTATTTTTAATGATTTATATTTTCTAGATGAAAAATTTGATTCAAGACATCGGACAGTTTGAAAAATCTTTAAAACTCGAAGAAAAAAAATGTCTTTTTAAATTCTCATTTTATTTCTAGATTTTTTAGTGATTTTTCAATGCGTTTTTAACAGATTCTTGATTTTATAAAGAGGTTTAGTAAAGTTTTTTGAGTATGTCAATAGGCAGTTTTTATACGGTTAACAAGTAAATTCTATTAAAAATATTTGATCTATAAAGGNTAATACCCCTTTGTGTGTTAAAATGTATTTAAAAAAATCAACGAATAATTCATTATAATTATTGAATATATTTTTTTTATTCACATAAATTTTTATTCAAATACAATCGAAATAATTTCTTGAGTTTTACTTGTTTTATTTTATTTTATTTTTTATTCAGAAGAAAATTCGTTTCGTTTGCCACCCCACGGGTTAAAGTTTCTTTTTCTATTCCAATTGCTAAAGTTTCTTTTACCTCCCCAAGGTGTAAAGCCTCTTCGGTCACTCAAAGCTTTCATGGTTCTCTTACCACCCCATGGTGTGAATTGACGTTTCTGAAATACAATTTCATCAAAAGGAATAGATCTTTTGCCACCCCACGGAGTAAATTTACGCTTGAAAAATTCTTCGGATCCAATTTTGGAATCGTTTTCCAATTCCGCTTCTGAAACAGCAACCGGTAAAAGAGAATCCAAGTCTGGTTCTTCGTTTAATTGAGCTAAACTTGCCATTACTCCAATCAATGTAAATATCATTATAATATGGCGATTTTTAACCATCATCTGTAACATAAAAAATAATATTTTTTAACTATTTAATATATTTAAAATTGTTATCAGTAAATTTAGAGAGGTGGAACACATTCAAGAATTGATTTTTTTTTTAATGTTAAAAATGTTATAGTTTTGTTTTAGATAAGAATAAATTCTAATCTCTAATAAAAAATTCGAAATAAAGCTAAGAAATATTTTATTTTTAATTTATTCAATGTAAAATATATGCTTTCCATCTCAAAATTGTAATATCTTGCCCCTATACATCATACTTTTCCTTTAATGATGGAGTCGTGCCGGTCATCTAACTCCTACAGGGGAGGAGATTTGAATTGAAGTAACGTGACTTTCTGCCTATATGAGATGTTCCTATACAGTTAATCTGGGCCTCCTACCCTACGCCTTCCATATCTGGTCTCAAGTTTCATCTATCTAACACTTTTCTCGAGATTAAGGAAGGACCGACTGACAGCCAGCGGGCGACAGTGAGAATTTATAGGTCTACAACTTTTTCAAATTGAAAAAATAAGAAGAAAGATTAAGAAAAATTAGAAAATTCTTTAAAAATTTCCATTATACATTCTTAAAATAGACATTTAATAAAAGAAAACATAATTAAGACAATGTAATTTTGGGATACAATTTTAAATATCGACATTTTGAAACTTTCTGACTTTAAATTGTACTTTAAAATGAATTATTATTGAATTGACTAAACAATTAAGTTATAAGAAAACAAAAATTGATCTAATTTTAAATTCGTTAAAAGTATCTTAAAAATAAAACCCGAGAAAATATTTAATTATTAAAACATGTTTAATAAAATTATTCAGTTTGCTTTGATCTTATACAAAGTTAAATAAGATAAAGTTACTTTAACTTACGCATATTTCATCATCATCCAAAATGTTATTAAGAAAACAAGTTTCTTAATAACATTTTGGATGATTCAAGACGGATAAATTTAGAAAATATTGCTATTATATCATGTAACATGATGCTTATTTAAAATATTAGTTTTATAAAAATCAAGTTAAAGTATCGTATTTTATAATTGAAGCTGTCAATGGAAGTTTTTTTCATATATTACACATAAGCTTACTCATATTAATTCAATAAACTACTGTAATTGAAAAAAATTAATTAGGCTATAGGGTGGACCAAATGCCATTTAACCATTTTAAAAATTGTAGAAAAATTATTCAAAAAAACAAAGTAAATTTAACAAGTTTAGTTTATTATTCGTATTCATAAGTGTACGTGGTATACAAAGACCATTCAGAAAGGTGTAAAGAGGCATTTCTTATTCCTAAATGAAAAATACGTATATAAGTATTCTTAAATTCCCCTACAAAATGAATTATACATAAACCTATTCCTTATGTTACCCTAACGATGACACCTGACTAAGCTTATGTATCGTTAAGTTAACTAATTTATGGGCCAAGCTATAAAATTAGTAAAGTAATACAATTTCAATTACGATAACAAAATAATTTACTATTTTAAAATTTTATTTAATGAAAACATTTATTGTAATTTAATCAGAATTATTTAAAGTTTAAGAGTATCATTGAATTAAATCGTTTACTTGATTTATTATTATTAAATGACAAATAATTATAACTTATTTACACACTAAGACAAATGTTGACAACTCTTATTATAAGAATGACAAACAGAGTATTTAAATGCTAATTAAAGAAAAGAAATAAATTTATTTCGTTAAAAATTATGTTTGAAATTTTGAAAAAAAAGTTTATAAAATTGTGTGGATCAGGATTTCCTGTGGTCATAAACTAAAAATAGGTACGAGCTCTCTCTTATTAAAAGAAAATTAGGATTTTATACTGTAGGCTCACACTGGAAATTGTTTAGTGTCTCATACTTACTCTCTATTAAAACAAGTGTACAATGAAACAATTTGCAAAGTATTCTGTTTATTTCTTACTTTACGGTATTTATAAATTAAGTTTTAAGGAAAGAACATAAACAGTTAATTGAATTAGAATTTTTAAATTCAAGATATACGGAGTAAATGTAAAAAAAAATTGACTAAATTTAATAATAAAACAACTATATTCGAACCGGTTTTAGACATAGGAAACTTAGGAATTTGTCCAAACGTTAAAATTTATGAGAAGCAAGACTAATAAAATTTAATAAATTAAAAACAAAATGTTTATTTTCCTAGTTAATTTTTATTTTTAATAATTATTTAAGTAATTACATAGACATGTTATAAAGCATTGCATTACATACGTTCATATCTTGCTAAGAAATTAAAAATTCAATTTTTGACTCTGATAATAAAAGTGAATATATGAATTTTTTTATAAAATTTAGTCATAATAACTAAATTTCCTAATATAATAAGTTTATACATAGACTTGGAAAAGTAAAATGATAAATTCAGGCTTGTATTTATAGAAATACACTTGTTATGATCATTATATGTTTAGATACGTGTGGCCAGTGTTTCTTATCGAAAAATTAGTAAATTTAATTTTAAGCTATTTGTTTTATAAAATAATAAATTACCTATCTGGTTTACTAAAAAAGGAGCTAAAACAATTAGTTTATATCTTTATATAAATTTATACAAAATCTCGATTATTTTAATAATAAATTAAGAAATTTCTTTCATTAAATTCAAAAACCTGCTAAAAATGTTCTTAAATACATTATTTTATATAAAACAAGACATCAGTAATGATCTGTGGAAAATTATAATGATAATACAATAGATAGAACCGTGGGCATCCATAGAGGGAGAAAAGGGGAATCAAGCCCTCTAGAGTTTAATAAAAAAATTCACAAATTATAATTGAAGAAATGATTGAGATATGCATAACTTTACACCCTCGACCATAAGACTTTGTCATTTGGTATTGAATCTATTTGTGAAAAAAACTCCAAATATTAAATAAAAATATATTGATGTAATTATTCGTATCCAAGACTTTACCCCCTAGAAAATTTTTGTGGACGCCCTTGGATAGGACCACTTTCAAACCAGCACAAATCGTAATCATGAGAAGTGTAACATATTTGTAGGCCTGAACAAATAATTTGATTTCCCCAGACCTATAAAGTACATAAACCTATTATATTATACAATTTACTTCTCTGAAATTCAAAGTAAAAATTTATATATTTACTTTGAATTTCAGATTTGTGCTAGTTCGAAAAGTGGTTCTGTCTACTGTAAGATAATTTAAAGAATTATTTTAAAGAATAAATAAAAATATCGTATTTAAAAGTAAAGTCGCTATTACTTGATGCTATTAACTAATTATTGACAATTCTCAGTTTAATTTATTATTACTATAACAATATTTATTGTAAAGCTATGAATATGAATATTAACAGTACACATAATAGTAAGATATATTTTGACTTTTAAAAAAATGAAGGAATCCAACCAATTATTTAATCATATAAACGATGATACTCTCTTTAATCTCGAAATATCCCAATTTTTATGGTTTTGTATAAGTAATTATAATAATGAGATTTAAATAAATCTAAACAATGTGATATTTTATTATTTCATATATTAAATTTAACGAGAATTCTGGCTTAAATTCGTTTTCTTCGAAAAATTAAAAGAAGAGAGAGAGTAAAGAGAAAACAGAAACACTAAATGGAATAAAAAGTTCATTTGGTCCTACTATTCGACACAGAATATTCATTTATTCTAAAACAACTAAAAAAATATGTAAATGATAGAAAATTCATTCGTGACAACTCAGACCAAGAGCATAGAGTTGATTTGCAAATCCATTCTACGCTCTATCTGAGACAGTCACGAGTAATATATAATTGTACCTGTTTTACACTGATGATGAATAAAACAACTGTACTTTTTTTTTAACGTTTTCAATATTAATATTAGTATCATATCTAACATTTATTTACTATTATTTTGCCCCTTTTTATTTAGTATCAATAACTTATAATCCTCTCTATTTTTTTTCCACTCTATACATTAGTCCCGGGTCCATCTTACCTCTGTTAGGCCCAAGACATACAGTACCATTCTTTAATTTAAATTTCGATTTCAATTGTTAACATTAGAATAAAATTTAGAAACTAATTTTCCCTCTATATTAAAAAAAAAATTGTATTAGTTCTTTTACAATAACACAAGCTTTTCGCTTTCAAAATAAAAATAGAAAATGTGTTTAATTGAAGATAATGTTTAAAGAACGAAACTTTAGAGTTAAAACTTATAATTTGCAATTTAAGTTATTTAAATATATTGTAATTTTTGTTGTTGTTTTTTCTTTTTAATTTTAGTGGTAATATTCGTAAATTTAAATCTTTGAAATTCGATTTAAATTTTATAACGTTGTATATTTAAGTTATAACTAAGTTAAATTATAGCTTCAAAATTTCAAAATAATCGCTCCGTTATCACTCTATCGGAAAATAAACTTTTAAAATCTTTCAGTCAGAGCTATTCATTGAAAAGATTTATTCATTGAAGCAAAATAACTCTGAGGTCTTAGCTTTTGTATAAGATAGAAAATTCGAACTTACTAGTTCACAAAAAAAGCAAATTAAATACTTATATTTTCTAAGTCAACATTCATCAAAAACTTTAAAAGTTTACCTCGAAAATTGTTTTAAAATCGATATAAAATCATACCAAAAAAACATATGATTAATAAATTATTTATTTTAACTCTTATTTAAATTAAAAAAATTAATTTAACGAACAATTATTTATTGTGACATCGTAGCAATGCTCTCAATTTTAATAGTGTCTTGCCCCTGTACATCATACTTTTCCTGTTAACAATGAAGTCACACCTTTATCTATCTTACATTATAAAACTTATTTTTATTATTTAATTAAAATTAAATTGCAGGTAAATATAGTTAAAACAATTAAAAATTTTATATAAATTAATTTTTGAATGCTGTTATTAACATAGTTTGAGCTTAATTCTCTTATTAAATATTAATAATTTTACAGTGATGATACAAAATAGAAATTATCTGAAATTACATTCATTGTCCGATACTTTGAAGTTATTAAATTTGATAAAATTCGTTAGCATTGATATCACTTTATTGCATATATCATTGTATGAATATATCTAAGTGGAGAATTATCAAGTGCTATCTCTATTTATGCATAATCTCTTTATTTGAAATGATCGATTGTAGTTAATAGAATATATTATATTAAATGAATACTGCAGATTATTAATGAATATACTGAATAGATATTATTAACAGTAAATTTCACAAAGTTTAATTAAATTATTTCAACCGATTAGGAATAATTAGGCCTATATATTTAAAAACATTTTTTCTGTAGTGTAACATACATATTTTATTATTTTATTGTAATAAAGAAGAGGAAATCTGTTTCAACAGGCTGTGATTTTTTCTCCGTGTAACACACAAAAATAATATTTTACAAAATGTGAACAATACGATATTAAATTGATGAAATAATGAATAAAAACATAATAAAGTTCCTTTACAAAAAGTCTATTGAAATAGTCATATTTGTGATGCGTGTGTATGCGTAAATATCAAACGTGCTATCATCAGGAGTAAATTGCACTCATATATATCACATTCTGTAATTTATAAATGATTGCATAATGAGATAAAGTGTGTATGAACACACACACACATCTATGTAGGAAGACTTTTCAATCACCCTCAGTGGCAAATAGAGGCGNTTTAATTGTAATATTATGTTACAAGTTAATAATTTACAAAGTTTTCGCTCAATCGAATTCTTACCTGGAAGCAAATTCTTTAATAATATTCAATGATAATTAGAAATTAGAAATTTATAGTTTCGACTTTAGCTAAATTTCCATCGAAATAAACTTTATTTGTTAATTAGAATATTAACAATGGAAAATCGAAACTTAATTGTATATTAGATTTAATTAATTTTCATTAATTGATGTTAAAACTTTAAACAATTTATGGCGAATTTCAAGGCTTTTCTGAAATTAATCTTAAAACAACTCAGAAAAAATTTAATATTTAAGTTTTATTTAATTAATTTAATTAATAAAAAATATATATAAAGATTTAAGCATTTAAAGGAACATTTTTTAAATGAATGTTTTATTTTATTTTTAATAAAAACTTTAGATAAAATACCTTACTTAAGACTCACTTTTTCACATAACTTAAATTGGGTTGCATCTTAATTCAGGATACTTTTCAGTACGTTTTCCTATGGGCAAAAAGGGAAATTGACCAGGGACCCCTCAAACCAATCTTTTATAAGAAAATATTCCCCTCAGATAATTTCCTCGAAGAAAAAGGCTGAATTCAGTACTGTACTATACGTGGACTCATTTAATTCAAATTCGCATGGACCCCCAAGAAGGTATAAAGCGACACTGATACTCTTTTACATTCTAAAAGTCTACACGTTTTCCTATTTAATAAATTATATTTATTTCTAATTATCATCAAATTTCTCCAAAAATATCCTTTTTAATGTTGGAGTGCGTTATAAAGATTCAGATTGTATGTTATTACTCTGAATGGGAATGAAAATTTGAAAATATTTCTGTTAATTAAACTTTATTCTAAATTAATTATTAACGTTTTATACTTTAATAATTTTTCTAAACTTTTAAAAATTTTTTTTTTTTATATAAAAAAAGAGCTGGAGGGACATCATAAATTCGAGGCAGTACGACGGTGATAAATCAAAAGTTTATTTATTAATGGATATCAAATTTTTAAAACTAATAGCAAAATTATTCAATTTAGATTATGAAATGAAATGTTTTGAATTTCAAATGAGAAAAATTTAAATATTTAAAATTAATATTTTATTATTATTTTTTTTAAAACGCTTATAAAAAGATCTAATTGATGAAAACTTAAATCGAGCAGATTTTTGAGAGTTCAAAGTTCAGTTAGAAATTCTAAAATTAAACATTAAGAGTAAACATTTTGATAAACTTGTTAATAAGTATATATATATATAATAGCTTTCAATTTATCTCATTTAAATTTTCGATACAAATGCTAAAATCTTACATCAATAAAGCGAAACTTTCATCTAATGTGACATTAATTGTTACAATGATATAACATGTTTAAATATTTATATCAATGTAAAAATTTTAAATTTAACACTTCCTACGTCTTTCAATTGTGAAATGAAACAAATTTATCAATCGTTTCGAGTTTATTTATCATTAAAATGGCATTTAAGCTCTTAATGAATTTTAATGAAATTTAGGATTTAATTTAAGATTTGTGTCTTATATATTACAGAGGTAATTAACTATCGTGGAATATTTTATATAACTTGTAAAAAAAATCTTTTGTTTTATTCGTAATTTGGAACATATAATATAATACAGTACGGTTCAAAAGTCAGTAAACCAAAATACATTATAAAAAAAAAAACATTTTCTGTTAACTGGCTTTTGGGCCACCTTATTTATATATTAAATAAAGTCGATAATTTTATTTAATAGCGTTTTATATAGCGATTTAATTTAATTAATAATTTTAAAATTTATTATTAAATCAATGTATTAAGGAATTTTTCTTTTATTAAACCATACGTGATAAATTTGAATAAATTAATTACGTAAATTCATCTCACTTATTGATATTCAATTGATTATTAAATATGAATTTTGGCTCAGAATATATATTATTCATAAAGATTTAAACGTTATTTATAGATTTATATCGTTTAAAGTAAGTTTTAATTTAAAAAAAAAATAAATAAATAATACCCCTTTGTGTGTTAAAATGTATTTAAAAAAATCAACGAATAATTCATTATAATTATTGAATATATTTTTTTATTCACATAAATTTTTATTCAAATACAATCGAAATAATTTCTTGAGTTTTACTTGTTTTATTTTATTTTATTTTTTATTCAGAAGAAAATTCGTTTCGTTTGCCACCCCACGGGTTAAAGTTTCTTTTTCTATTCCAATTGCTAAAGTTTCTTTTACCTCCCCAAGGTGTAAAGCCTCTTCGGTCACTCAAAGCTTTCATGGTTCTCTTACCACCCCATGGTGTGAATTGACGTTTCTGAAATACAATTTCATCAAAAGGAATAGATCTTTTGCCACCCCACGGAGTAAATTTACGCTTGAAAAATTCTTCGGATCCAATTTTGGAATCGTTTTCCAATTCCGCTTCTGAAACAGCAACCGGTAAAAGAGAATCCAAGTCTGGTTCTTCGTTTAATTGAGCTAAACTTGCCATTACTCCAATCAATGTAAATATCATTATAATATGGCGATTTTTAACCATCATCTGTAACATAAAAAATAATATTTTTTAACTATTTAATATATTTAAAATTGTTATCAGTAAATTTAGAGAGGTGGAACACATTCAAGAATTGATTTTTTTTTTAATGTTAAAAATGTTATAGTTTTGTTTTAGATAAGAATAAATTCTAATCTCTAATAAAAAATTCGAAATAAAGCTAAGAAATATTTTATTTTTAATTTATTCAATGTAAAATATATGCTTTCCATCTCAAAATTGTAATATCTTGCCCCTATACATCATACTTTTCCTTTAATGATGGAGTCGTGCCGGTCATCTAACTCCTACAGGGGAGGAGATTTGAATTGAAGTAACGTGACTTTCTGCCTATATGAGATGTTCCTATACAGTTAATCTGGGCCTCCTACCCTACGCCTTCCATATCTGGTCTCAAGTTTCATCTATCTAACACTTTTCTCGAGATTAAGGAAGGACCGACTGACAGCCAGCGGGCGACAGTGAGAATTTATAGGTCTACAACTTTTTCAAATTGAAAAAATAAGAAGAAAGATTAAGAAAAATTAGAAAATTCTTTAAAAATTTCCATTATACATTCTTAAAATAGACATTTAATAAAAGAAAACATAATTAAGACAATGTAATTTTGGGATACAATTTTAAATATCGACATTTTGAAACTTTCTGACTTTAAATTGTACTTTAAAATGAATTATTATTGAATTGACTAAACAATTAAGTTATAAGAAAACAAAAATTGATCTAATTTTAAATTCGTTAAAAGTATCTTAAAAATAAAACCCGAGAAAATATTTAATTATTAAAACATGTTTAATAAAATTATTCAGTTTGCTTTGATCTTATACAAAGTTAAATAAGATAAAGTTACTTTAACTTACGCATATTTCATCATCATCCAAAATGTTATTAAGAAAACAAGTTTCTTAATAACATTTTGGATGATTCAAGACGGATAAATTTAGAAAATATTGCTATTATATCATGTAACATGATGCTTATTTAAAATATTAGTTTTATAAAAATCAAGTTAAAGTATCGTATTTTATAATTGAAGCTGTCAATGGAAGTTTTTTTCATATATTACACATAAGCTTACTCATATTAATTCAATAAACTACTGTAATTGAAAAAAATTAATTAGGCTATAGGGTGGACCAAATGCCATTTAACCATTTTAAAAATTGTAGAAAAATTATTCAAAAAAACAAAGTAAATTTAACAAGTTTAGTTTATTATTCGTATTCATAAGTGTACGTGGTATACAAAGACCATTCAGAAAGGTGTAAAGAGGCATTTCTTATTCCTAAATGAAAAATACGTATATAAGTATTCTTAAATTCCCCTACAAAATGAATTATACATAAACCTATTCCTTATGTTACCCTAACGATGACACCTGACTAAGCTTATGTATCGTTAAGTTAACTAATTTATGGGCCAAGCTATAAAATTAGTAAAGTAATACAATTTCAATTACGATAACAAAATAATTTACTATTTTAAAATTTTATTTAATGAAAACATTTATTGTAATTTAATCAGAATTATTTAAAGTTTAAGAGTATCATTGAATTAAATCGTTTACTTGATTTATTATTATTAAATGACAAATAATTATAACTTATTTACACACTAAGACAAATGTTGACAACTCTTATTATAAGAATGACAAACAGAGTATTTAAATGCTAATTAAAGAAAAGAAATAAATTTATTTCGTTAAAAATTATGTTTGAAATTTTGAAAAAAAAGTTTATAAAATTGTGTGGATCAGGATTTCCTGTGGTCATAAACTAAAAATAGGTACGAGCTCTCTCTTATTAAAAGAAAATTAGGATTTTATACTGTAGGCTCACACTGGAAATTGTTTAGTGTCTCATACTTACTCTCTATTAAAACAAGTGTACAATGAAACAATTTGCAAAGTATTCTGTTTATTTCTTACTTTACGGTATTTATAAATTAAGTTTTAAGGAAAGAACATAAACAGTTAATTGAATTAGAATTTTTAAATTCAAGATATACGGAGTAAATGTAAAAAAAAATTGACTAAATTTAATAATAAAACAACTATATTCGAACCGGTTTTAGACATAGGAAACTTAGGAATTTGTCCAAACGTTAAAATTTATGAGAAGCAAGACTAATAAAATTTAATAAATTAAAAACAAAATGTTTATTTTCCTAGTTAATTTTTATTTTTAATAATTATTTAAGTAATTACATAGACATGTTATAAAGCATTGCATTACATACGTTCATATCTTGCTAAGAAATTAAAAATTCAATTTTTGACTCTGATAATAAAAGTGAATATATGAATTTTTTTATAAAATTTAGTCATAATAACTAAATTTCCTAATATAATAAGTTTATACATAGACTTGGAAAAGTAAAATGATAAATTCAGGCTTGTATTTATAGAAATACACTTGTTATGATCATTATATGTTTAGATACGTGTGGCCAGTGTTTCTTATCGAAAAATTAGTAAATTTAATTTTAAGCTATTTGTTTTATAAAATAATAAATTACCTATCTGGTTTACTAAAAAAGGAGCTAAAACAATTAGTTTATATCTTTATATAAATTTATACAAAATCTCGATTATTTTAATAATAAATTAAGAAATTTCTTTCATTAAATTCAAAAACCTGCTAAAAATGTTCTTAAATACATTATTTTATATAAAACAAGACATCAGTAATGATCTGTGGAAAATTATAATGATAATACAATAGATAGAACCGTGGGCATCCATAGAGGGAGAAAAGGGGAATCAAGCCCTCTAGAGTTTAATAAAAAAATTCACAAATTATAATTGAAGAAATGATTGAGATATGCATAACTTTACACCCTCGACCATAAGACTTTGTCATTTGGTATTGAATCTATTTGTGAAAAAAACTCCAAATATTAAATAAAAATATATTGATGTAATTATTCGTATCCAAGACTTTACTCCCTAGAAAATTTTTGTGGACGCCCTTGGATAGGACCACTTTCAAACCAGCACAAATCGTAATCATGAGAAGTGTAACATATTTGTAGGCCTGAACAAATAATTTGATTTCCCCAGACCTATAAAGTACATAAACCTATTATATTATACAATTTACTTCTCTGAAATTCAAAGTAAAAATTTATATATTTACTTTGAATTTCAGATTTGTGCTAGTTCGAAAAGTGGTTCTGTCTACTGTAAGATAATTTAAAGAATTATTTTAAAGAATAAATAAAAATATCGTATTTAAAAGTAAAGTCGCTATTACTTGATGCTATTAACTAATTATTGACAATTCTCAGTTTAATTTATTATTACTATAACAATATTTATTGTAAAGCTATGAATATGAATATTAACAGTACACATAATAGTAAGATATATTTTGACTTTTAAAAAAATGAAGGAATCCAACCAATTATTTAATCATATAAACGATGATACTCTCTTTAATCTCGAAATATCCCAATTTTTATGGTTTTGTATAAGTAATTATAATAATGAGATTTAAATAAATCTAAACAATGTGATATTTTATTATTTCATATATTAAATTTAACGAGAATTCTGGCTTAAATTCGTTTTCTTCGAAAAATTAAAAGAAGAGAGAGAGTAAAGAGAAAACAGAAACACTAAATGGAATAAAAAGTTCATTTGGTCCTACTATTCGACACAGAATATTCATTTATTCTAAAACAACTAAAAAAATATGTAAATGATAGAAAATTCATTCGTGACAACTCAGACCAAGAGCATAGAGTTGATTTGCAAATCCATTCTACGCTCTGTCTGAGACAGTCACGAATAATATATAATTGTACCTGTTTTACACTGATGATGAATAAAACAACTGTACTTTTTTTTTAACGTTTTCAATATTAATATTAGTATCATATCTAACATTTATTTACTATTATTTTGCCCCTTTTTATTTAGTATCAATAACTTATAATCCTCTCTATTTTTTTCCACTCTATACATTAGTCCCGGGTCCATCTTACCTCTGTTAGGCCCAAGACATACAGTACCATTCTTTAATTTAAATTTCGATTTCAATTGTTAACATTAGAATAAAATTTAGAAACTAATTTTCCCTCTATATTAAAAAAAAAATTGTATTAGTTCTTTTACAATAACACAAGCTTTTCGCTTTCAAAATAAAAATAGAAAATGTGTTTAATTGAAGATAATGTTTAAAGAACGAAACTTTAGAGTTAAAACTTATAATTTGCAATTTAAGTTATTTAAATATATTGTAATTTTTGTTGTTGTTTTTTCTTTTTAATTTTAGTGGTAATATTCGTAAATTTAAATCTTTGAAATTCGATTTAAATTTTATAACGTTGTATATTTAAGTTATAACTAAGTTAAATTATAGCTTCAAAATTTCAAAATAATCGCTCCGTTATCACTCTATCGGAAAATAAACTTTTAAAATCTTTCAGTCAGAGCTATTCATTGAAAAGATTTATTCATTGAAGCAAAATAACTCTGAGGTCTTAGCTTTTGTATAAGATAGAAAATTCGAACTTACTAGTTCACAAAAAAAGCAAATTAAATACTTATATTTTCTAAGTCAACATTCATCAAAAACTTTAAAAGTTTACCTCGAAAATTGTTTTAAAATCGATATAAAATCATACAAAAAAAACATATGATTAATAAATTATTTATTTTAACTCTTATTTAAATTAAAAAAATTAATTTAACGAACAATTATTTATTGTGACATCGTAGCAATGCTCTCAATTTTAATAGTGTCTTGCCCCTGTACATCATACTTTTCCTGTTAACAATTAAGTCACACCTTTATCTATCTTACATTATAAAACTTATTTTTATTATTTAATTAAAATTAAATTGCAGGTAAATATAGTTAAAACAATTAAAAATTTTATATAAATTAATTTTTGAATGCTGTTATTAACATAGTTTGAGCTTAATTCTCTTATTAAATATTAATAATTTTACAGTGATGATACAAAATAGAAATTATCTG